ATTCTATCTGTAATCTTTGCAATTAAAGGCCGTAAATCCTTTTGTGATAGCTTTCCTGTGATCAATGGAACCCCAAGGTAACGAACTGGCAGAGAACCAATTTTAAACCCAAATTTCTCAGTAAGATGTTTAATGTGTACCTCATGCAGCCCACAACAAAATAACTCAGACTTGGCATAGTTGACCTGTAGCCCAGATATTATATAAAATTGCTTCAATACATCATCTATAGCATCAAGAGATGTTATACTCCCATTAGTAAAAATTATCAAGTCATCTGCAAAGCACAAATGCGTAAGCTGCACTTTCTTACATTTGGGGTGGTAGGCAAATTTCCCTTCAATGGCAGCATGATTAAGCATTCTTGAAAGCACTTCCATGCAGACCACAAAAATGTAAGGAGATAAAGGATCTCCCTGCCTAACACCTTTTTTCCCTGAGAAATAGCCACATAAATTGCCATTAAAAACAATTGAAAACATAGGAGTAGTGATGCAGATCTTGAGCAGATTGACAAAATAAGCAGGGAATCCCAGGGATATCAAAACTTGAAAGATAAAGTCCCATGAGACAAAATCAAAGGCCTTCATCAAATCTATCTTTAATGCACATCGAGGGCTAAGTTGTGGCTTGTGGTAATGCTTTACAACTTCTTGGGCAAGTAGGACATTTTCTACCATTTGTCTCCCTTCCACAAAAGCACATTGGTTCTTGCTAATAAAGAGGGGAAGAGTCTGTTTGAGCTTGTTAGCTAGGATTTTTGTTATGAACTTGTACAATATATTACAGCAAGCTATGGGTCTGAACTCTGTCATCTTCACTGGGTTCAGAACCTTCGGCACTAGAGAAATGATAGTGGAGTTCATCTCTCTTAATATCTTTCCAGAGGAGAAAAATTCCTGAATAGCTTTAGTAACCAGATCACCCACTACAGGCCAAGCTGCTTTATAAAACTCTGAAGTATATCCATCTGGACCAGGGGCTCTGTTTCTAGGGCTAGAAAAAACTACCTCTTTGATCTCTAAATCCGTGATAGGTTGCTGAAGAAAATCTACCATGGAAGTAGGCAACTGAAATTGAAATATGTTTTTAATCCAATCATCATTTACCTTTGTACAGTTGACTCAAACTGTCCCTAGAAGGCCTTGATAAAACTGGACTGCTTCATTCTCCATATCAGAGATTCTAGTTAGCCTTCTATTGTCTTGCGTATGCAATACTTTGATAGTATTTTTGCCTTTTCTGACTGTAGCTATTTTGTGAAAATAGTTGGTATTGCTGTCCCCTTCTTGCAACCATTTAATTCTAGATTTCTGCTTGTAGAATGACTCTTCAGCTAGTTGTAAGGTTGCAACTTTCTGTGCTTGATCATGCTCAACTTGAATTAATTTTGCAGTAGGGCACGAAAATAGATCAACTTGCAGAAGATGCAACTTATGTAACTCCTCCTGCAATTTGTTAGGTAAGTCAGCATAATGCTTAGAATTAAGCTTCCTAAGGGCTTGCTTCAAAGCCTTCAATTTTTTGCATAGCTGAAACATATAGCAGCCTTGTACTGTTGTGGCATCCCATACTTGCTTTACTGTGTTCAAGAATTCCTCATTCTTAGTCCAAAAGTTGAAGAACTTGAAAGGCTTCCTCCGGTTATTTTGTACAGGAACCAAGATGTTTACACAACCTGCACAGTGATCTGAGCATCCAGGAGGCAGAAACTCAGAAGTTGTGTTGGGAAAAGTCTCAAACCAAACATCATTTACCATTAGCCTGTCAAGCTTTTTAGATACAGGATCTGTACTCCTATTATTGCACCATGTAAATAAAGGACCTGTAGCAGGTAGATCATGCAACTCAGCAGCATTTAATTTGTCATGAAACATCAAAGACTCTTTGGGAAAGCTAGATAAGGAATTATCCGATCTCTCCGAAAGGCATCGGATGTCATTAAAATCTCCTCCCACCAGCCACGGGACATTTGGAAGGGCCTGGCTGAGTAGTAACAATTCATTCCATAGCTTTTGTCTAACCCCATATGAGTACGGGTCAGCATAGATAACACTGAGAAAAAAGTATTGACTCAAACAAGTGTCAAAAACATGGCAATGAAAAGCTTGACAATTTATGTTTGAGACAGTAATATTAATGTGATTCCTGTGTAGTACCCATATTCTACCAAGCCTGGCATGTTCATAGTTGTGAAAAGCAGTCCAGTTAGGCAACAAAAAACTAGAAATCTCCAGGAAATTTGATTGCTGCACACGAGTTTCCAAGAGACAGACTATGTCAACATCATATTGAAACAAGTATTTCTTTAGTGCTTTTTGCTTACTAGGCATATTAATGCCTCTCACGTTCCAGAATAGTATCTTCATTTTGGTTGAGAGGCTAACACCTCACTTGAGGAGTTTGAACTTCATTTCTTTAGTGCTTTTTGCTTACTAGGCATATTAATGCCTCTCACGTTCCAGAATAGTATCTTCATTTTGGTTGAGAGGCTAACACCTCATATAGAAATCTCATAGGTTAGTATTGTTAGATGTTAATAATTGAAGATTCGATCACCAAATCTAGTGAATAACCCACCAATCTTAATGAGATACATAGCCATCGCGCAGGTGGAGTTCCTCTTAAGATCTTGTACTTCATCTTCTTTTAGTCATAACCAGAAATATTGTACTTTAAGACGTTGACTTTTGCATAAAATTAGGCATATTTATATAAATTCCCCCTAACCAAGTAACAACTTTTATTATTTTATGAAATCACTATCCATGTACCTATCCAAATTCTCTTGATATTCCTCATGTTCCTCCATCTGCTATATATACACAAAATATTCCCTCTTATCATCATAAACATGCATGTCAACTTAATTAAAGTAATATATGTTGCAAATTTTTTGGATACATTAGATGATGAAAAATATAAAAGGATAGATCTTTTATTTTTAAAAATCTTTGGTTACTTATTCAAGTTTTGAATTTAAAATTTTTAAATTAAAATCTCAAATTGCTTAATCAATTGAACTACCTCTTAAAGTGTATAAGTTGCAAATGACAATCTAATTAATATGTGCTTCTTGTAAAATTTAGTCTAGTCTAAACCAAATAAATACAGATTGGGGAAAGTTTCATAATTACTTCATTGCCTTCAGCAGAAAGTGTATATTCGTGAAGAACTCAAAAAAGGCCAAGTTCTCTTGATTTACGCAAATTAATTAAGGCACCATCTCAATAACGTTTCAAACCCAGTTGTGGAGCCACATGCATTTCAGTGATACCCTAACATTCTGTTCAAGTTGCTCTTTAAGAAATAGAAATTCTTTTCTTTTCTTTTTTTCTAATTTAGAAAAGAAAAAGTATCAATCTTATGTCATATATGGCCGGAGGGGAATGAATTCCAATACTCAGAAATTTTCTTAAGAAACTAAGATTTATAAATTGTAATACCTTAATACATATTGATGATTTTCTACTAAATTAAAGATGAATAGTTGTTACTTCCTCTTCGCCAAGAATGGCTATTCCTTGTTCTCTAATCTTAACGAAAATTATTAGTATTAAGATTGAACAAATCTTAAATTTCATAAAAATTTGTCAATTTTACCTCATTTTTATAGTTTAATAAGAAATATATAACCACTCCCTCTAACCAAAAATATATATATATATATATATATATACACACACACATGCACCAATCTGGCCCCGACTGCATGCCACCTTGCTTGACTCTGTTATTGAATTATACAAGACCCCAAGCTCGAGATCAGAACAAACGTGTTTTGGAGAAAACTGACTTGCAAATAGTTTTCCAGATGCGATGCTTATGGAAACCCACCAACACAAAATCCATCTAGTCGTGCAATATCAATTATGGCATCAAATAATTTCAATTTAGTAAACGCTGATCAAGTTTCTTCCTCCCTCTATAAACCATGCATAATGCCCTTATATACCCACCAACTCAAAATCCTCCAAATAATTTCCTCCTGCTTGGAAATTTAACATGTCTAATTTTCTTTTTCCTTTAACAACGTCCATGTTTCTTCTCCTTCCTTTCTTATTCATTTCTCCATCCCTTGCAAAACATTCACATTCCAAAGATAGTAACATCTCAAAAGAAACCATTTGCCTCTCCACCCCAGATCCTGCCTACTGTAATTACATCCTCTATAACCAAACCACCATGAACGCCTATGGCTACAGCCGATTCACTGTTCTCAAATCTTGGATGCAATCTGAGAAATTTTACTACTTGGTCGATAAGTACATTAGGAAGCAACAATCTTCTTTACCAATACCCGTTATCCGTGCTCTCGAGGATTGCCTTTTACTGGCCGAATTCAACTTGGATTTTCTAGAGACTTCATCCCAAGCCGTTGGCAATGCCACTGAAAGTACACTTTCCGACGTGAAAGCTGAGAGCATTCAAACCTATCTAAGTGCAATTTCAACCAACCAACAGACATGCTTAGAAGGCATCCAGACCACTGCTTCCGCTTCGAGCATGAAGTATGACCTGATGGTCCCGATTGCAGAAGACACAAAACTCAACACTGTCTCTCTCGCTCTTTTTACCGAAGCCTTCGTTCCGAAGAAGAGGAGAGAATCAACATGGCAGCCTACCTCTAAACATCTGCCGTTCCTGAACGGACGTCTGCCTCTGAAAATGTCCAGCCGGACGAAAGCCGTTTATGAGTCGGCGAGCGGAAGAAAGCTTCTTCAGATCGGTTTAGACGATCAGGTTTTGGTGAGTGACATTGTGGTGGTGAGTCAAGACGGTGTTGGAAATTTCACTACCATTAACGATGCCGTTGCTGCGGCTCCGATTAAAAACAATGGATCAACTGGCTACTTCTTGATTTACGTCACCGCTGGTGTCTACGAAGAGTACGTCTCCATTGCTAAGAATAAGAAGTACTTGATGATGGTTGGTGACGGTATCAATCAGACCATCATCACCGGAAACCGCAGCGTCGTTGATGGGTGGACAACATTTAACTCTGCCACCTTTGGTGAGCTTTTGAATTTTTTTTTTTTTTATCATCAGTACAAATTCATATAGAAATTAAAATTAATCTCATGAATTGAACATCAACTAATCAAAATAGACAAACTTGAAGGGTTTGATCAGGTAAGTAAAAGTTCTCCCCTAGATCAAGATCAAGGTTTAAATTTTAGAGTTCATATTAAAAAATTTAATTTTTTTGAATGTATTAGATCAATTATAAAATGCACTCTTAAAATCATTTAAAAGAATATTAGTGTCGAAATTGAAGATACATTTAAACTAGCCAAGGATTCCCTAACTATCAAGATGCACAATTAACTTGCTTCTTACGAAACACCAACATACAATTGATGCAATTAATGACAGCAAAAGTATAATTTGAATTTTAAGTAACCACCAATCGGGTGGATTCTTCGTCAAGATATAGTAGACACATGCACTTTTCAGAAAAAAAAAAGTCTACAACACATTTAATTATAACACAACTAATCCATAAAATATTAAAGTGAATCCATTTTTCTTTCATCTAAACTTAACTATATGTGAATTGATACGTACTAATTAACTTCTAATTATATATGCCTTAAATTTTCATTGGTTGGTCATACGAATGGCCGTTTCAGTTTACAACAAGTGAAAGGCCTCAAGGCTGAATTAACAGTCAAATTCAACATTTGTTAATTAACATTTAATTATCTAGTGTCAAAAGAGAAATGAGATTCAATCTTATAAGTTTCAATTCAATTTTTTATTTTTTTTAAGCGGTGGTGGCATCAAACTTCGTGGCCGTGAACATGACTTTCCGCAACACGGCTGGAGCAATCAAGCACCAGGCGGTGGCAGTCCGAAACGGAGCGGATTTATCAACCTTCTATAGTTGCAGCTTCGAAGGATATCAAGACACTCTATACACTCATTCTCTCAGACAATTTTACAGAGAATGCGACGTCTACGGAACAGTTGACTTCATATTCGGAAATGCGGCCGTCGTTTTACAAAACTGCAACCTCTATCCTCGTCGCCCTATGGACAATCAATTCAACGCGATCACTGCACAAGGCCGGACGGACCCAAACCAGAACACTGGCACGTCCATTATTAACTGTGTGATCAAAGCTGCCGATGATCTGGCCTCGAGCGATGAAATCTTCCAGACATACTTGGGGAGGCCCTGGAAGCAGTATTCCAGGACTGTGTATTCCCAATGTTTCATAGACGGTTTGATTAACCCAGCAGGCTGGATAGCATGGAGCGGGGATTTTGCATTGAGCACCCTTTTCTACGGCGAGTTTGGTAACACTGGACCTGGATCGAATACTACCCTCCGGATCACTTGGCCGAGTTACCATGTGCTCAATGCTACTGATGCTGCCGAATTTAATGTCGCAAATTTCCTATTGGGAGATAATTGGTTGCCTGCAACTGGAGTACCATACGCCAGTGTCTTGATATGAGAGTTGAGAACAATTCATTAGTCGGTTCGAATTAATTGCAAATTTTTCTTAAAAAGAAAAAAGAAAAAAAATCTATTTTGTTTTGACAATTATGCAATTCATGGTATTGACTGAAAATTGATTGTTCACATTGTTAATAAATCAATAAACTTAGTAATCCCGAAGTAATATTTTTCTTTAAAATTATTGGTTTTTGAATTAGACTTATATATATTGTACAAGTAGAGCACTTTACCCACACACTATTGTCATGCGACTCGAGATCTTACTTCTATGGAGAACATGTTACCACTAGCTAGGCACAAGTAGAATGAGTATTGACATCGAAGAAAGTTACTTTTATAGCATTTCGCACCCGTAAAAATCCAGATTTTGTTGCTTTTTATTTAGGGAATTTTTAAACTATATCTTTAAAATATAAATTAAAAGTGCATTTATTATATTTTTTAATAATTAATTTATATTAAAAATTAAAAAAAATAATTTTAATTTTATCAATCATATAATTATAAATATATATTTGATATTAGTGATAAAAAAAAAGTTACTTAATTATATTGAGTTCTAATTAATTTATAATTGAACTGTATTTGATCCTGTAAAAAAAAAAACTTTTTCAATTTTTATTTTTTCGTTCACAAGATTTAAATTCAAAATTTTATTTAAAAGAAATTAAACTCCTTGAACCAACAGTTGATAAATTTTTATAGAAATTAAATATAATGTACAATCAAACAAACCCTTTCATTTAATTCAACGTACGCTATCCATGTACCACATTTACATTGAACTCTTCGATCTTAATCACAAAATTTGCACATTCAATAATTTTCTTCGAAGAAGATACAATGATCTACTATAATTGTATCTTCAAATTAGCACAGACGCTGTAAATCAGTTCCCCTCTTCCAATACCTTGTTGATGGCCAAGACATTGCTGCATAATTTCCGGAAAATGCTATTCCTTTCCGAAATCACAGATTGTTTCTCCGAATACTGCTTAAATCCATCCTCGCACGACTCCGCGTCGCTGATCGCCGCTTCCACCCAGATCTTCACGTCCTCGCTCGCCCCTGCAAGCAACGCTGCAATAGAATCGTTCAACTGCTCGATCGCGGAAAGGTAATGATTGGAACAATCATTGAGGCACTGCTCAATCACGGGGTCCAAAGCTGACGTGTCTTTGAGCAGCATCTTGATGTGGACAGAGGTGTCAGATCCATTGGCGGCAGCGAGCCTGATCGCGAGAAGGACAAGGCCGCGGAGATCTGAATCTTTGCTTGCTTCATCGGCCTGGAGGCTCTGGATGCAGAGATCCTTGTACTGGGCGTTCTTACAGGCGTTTGCAATCAAAACGGTGGTGGCATTGGAATTGGTGGCGCTTAGGTATGGAGGAAAGAGAAAAAGAGGACGAGAGGTAAGAATGGGGGAAAATCTCTGATTAACTTCATTGTGTATCTTCTTCTTGTACTGTCCTTTGATTGTGAGAATATGAAGAATCTCTGATGCTCACGCATCTCTTAGGGCTTGTTTTAAAAGGAAGAGTCAAGTGTTAATTTGTTTGGGAGTTGAGTTTGTTTGGAACGATTTTGGTGATCGTTAGATTGGTGTAAACTTTGTTGGCTAAAAATGGTGGAAACCCAAAATTTAGAATGACTATTATTGGATTAGAATGCGATTGGTACTTAACCCAAAAAAAAAAAAAAAAAAGGATGAATGCGAATTGTTATTGAAAAATACAAACTTTCTTGTGGTCAATTATACGACTACTTCAATGGGATTTGAAGCCCCTAGACTTAATCCAAATTAACACTTGAGTCCATATATAGACAAAAAAGGTACAAACAAACTCTCAAATCCCATGCAAAATTATTACTAACGGCCCAACGCATATGAACTCTCATTGTTTGTTTTTTTCCTTCCGATGGCGTCACTTTTTCATATGGATACTAACATCAATCAAAAAATGTTTTGAATGGTAAAAATTTCAACAAAATGACTCACATGGCCTTTTTATTTATTTATTTAGTATTGATAGATCGCATAAATTATTTTAACAAAATTTTTATCACCAAAAGAGACATTTTGATATATATCAACATCCACATAGAAAGTGGGATCAAGTGAAAGAAAAGAGCAAATGACGTGAGATCACATGTATTCAATCATTACTCATTAATGATAAAGGTTGGTTTGCATATAATTTTGTATTATTCGAGGAGTTTTAGAGTTTGTTTGCACCATTTTTTAGTTTAAGGACTCATGTGTTAATTTAGGAAAATTTTGAGAACTTAAGAAGGGCTTTTGAAGCCTTCTTATTATTATGGCAAATAGTAATTGCACCTTTAATCATTTAAGTAACAATAACATTAAAATTAATATTAACTTTTATATTTTTTATGTTAATTAACACAAAAAAAAATACACTATTGATGGAGAATAGAGAAAAAAGCCTAACAGGGAGAGCAACCACTTTTTCTACCCAATACTTCTCAAAAGGTGAATACCATTGATTTGCTATCAGGTGGGAGTAAGAGACTTGACTATAAATTGACTGCATGGGGAGTGAGAGTAAGGGATATGAATTTGAGTCGTATTACATGTGTATTATAATTAATTAGGAGATAAAATAAAATATAATTATTATTTTTATTGTGTAACACAAGATTTTTTTTTTAAGTTTTCTTAACATTTGATTTTTATTAAAATAAAAATCAATTTATAATTTATAATTATTTAATTAAATTTATTTATTTAACAATTATACTAAATTCTTTTTAAACTTAAAAAATTATGAAAAAAAAAATTAAATAATGAATGAGAATCAAACTTTCAACTAAATGAATTCACTTGAAAACTAATAATCCTCAAAGCCGGTTCCTACTAATCCTAAAATTAATATCTTAACATTTACATTTTTATATACATTACGATGAAGAAAAAAAAAAGTACATTTCACCTTATTCTTTTGACACATGGTCCATGTTAGGAAAAAAAAAAAAGAAAAAGGAGGAAACTACTTACTCCAACATTGTCAGATATTCTGAAGTATTTTGTCTTGTTGTCCTTGATTACCAAGTTATTAAGATTAACTAGATGCTCCAAATCCTCCTCAGAGATGGAATCCGATGGCCCGGCGACTTGAACCCGCTTCCTCTTGCGGAAACACCACCCGAACCCGCATTCTGTAAATCCCTCAATCTTTCCTCCGCTGCAGGCATTTCCACCGCTATACCCACCAGTTCCGGCGCCGGTGAACGATAATTTATTTCTTTCTCTTCTAATCCGGCGGTTTCAGTCACTGCGGCGATGGCCTGTTCTGTTAATTGCGGCGGGATGTCCGAAATGACTTTTTCCACCGGCGCTCTACACAGTGGGCAAGTTGAGTGAGAATGGAACCACATGTCAATGCAGTCGAAGTGAAACGCGTGTTTACACTTGAGCAAAACGCACACGCAATCCTTGTCTTCGAACTCCGACAGGCACACGGCGCATTCTAGCCTCCTATGATGACCGACAGAGTAGATAAAAGTCGGGATTGATTTGATAACCGACACGTCTAAACCCCCTGAAGAGACGGTTAGAGGCGATGTAGCGGCAGAAAGAGATGAGCGGTGATGGGTCCGGTTTTGTGTTTGTCGGTGGCGGCGGCGAGAGTAGCTGCGAAGCAGCCTTAGAGCGTAGCTGTAGAAGCATGATAAGACAAGGATTGCAACGAAGACGAGGATGACGGAACATAGCATTCTCTTTCCGTTGAGGGCATAATTGGAATTGGGGTTGTGTTCCATGGGAGAGTCAGTGTAGCAACAAGAGAAGATGTAGAAGAGAACGGTAGTTGAGGGGCTTTAAATACTCTAGAAAGAAGAGAAGGAAAAAGAATAGGAAGGTTCCTATAGGATCCGACGTGGAAATTTTGATGGATTTCTAATTCTGTGGATTAGAGTTACTCTTATCCTTGTACATAAATTTCCCTCCTTAGAGTTTCTTTCCTTTTTCGTTTTTAAATGTGGGTATTTAGATTCTTATTAAGACAAATCATACAAATCTAATAGATACTTATAAATTAAGAGATGTTTAATCATACAAATCTTATAAATACTTACAAAGTTACAAATCATATAGATATTAGAGGAATTTAAGTTTTGACTCACATTTTTAGTAGGACAGTGTTATAAGAATAATTTTTTTATATTATTTTTTATATAATTTTTATATATCATTAAATGAGTTGATATATTTAATATCACAAGTCTTATATGAATAAAAAAATTAATTATTTAAATGGTACAATAAATTGTACCAAGAGATGATACAAAAATATTGTTTCAAGAAGTAATACAAAAATATTATTCCAAGAGATGACGCCAAAAAGATTATTCTAAAATTATTTTCCTTTTTGGTATGATTTAATTGACTTTTTACCCATATAATTAATTTCAATGGATAAGATTTCCTTTCTTGGTATTTTTGTTTTCTTTTTTCTTATTATCTACCTATAAATTTCCCTCGTTTCTTTTCGATAAGATTATGATATTGTATTTTATTCTTTTGTCTCAAAATAATTATTATTTTTTAATTTAAATTTATCTCTAATTATTTGTTGTTTTTTTATTTGTTAAGTTATAAAAATATTTTTCTTACTTTAACTCTATTATTATTAATTAATTTTAATTAATTATCTTATCACATAAAAAGTCTCACTTTAAATCTTTTATTTTTGTAAAAATATTATAGATAAATACTCCCACGTTAATTTTAATAGATTTAATTTGATTTTTTTTTAATTTTTCATACATGAATTTCAAATCAAAATTTAATAAATTATATGAATAACAATATAAAAATTTTTTATATACAAAGTTCTTTTTTTTATTATTATTATTACATAATGAAAGGTAATCATTTCTTATCCCTTAATCCATTCCACTCACATGTTATATGATTTAAATTTATGATTTCTTACTTTCAAATATAAAAAATTACTATTAAATTATTTAGATCATTGATATATAAAGTTCTTGTCAAGTACTTTAATTTAATTAAAAAATTTTAATTATTATTTATATAATATGTTAAATTCTCATTTGAAATTTACGTTTTAAAAATCGAAAAGCTAAATTTGACCTACCAAAAA